GGTGCCAGATCTGGTGAATAATGTAGATAAAAACACACTGTAATGTTTTTTTGAACCTGTCCTTCTATTGAATAGCACTCACAGCAGCATTCACCATATGATAGTTTTAATCACATATCATAAAGACATTTCTGAAAGAGGACTCCCCAAACTGATTCAGAAACTGGCAAGAAGGATGATCAAAGTGTGAAGCGAAGGGAAGTATATATAACGACAATGTGCTTTTTACTGTAATAAATATTTTAAAATTTAAATATTCATCATATATTTTGATCACACCTTGTATCTATCTATTTTTTTAAATTGTCAACAGTATATGAGCACAGTTTAATTTCCATAGCTAACTTTTATATGAGCAGACTTGTATTTCACTCTGCTCATTTTTTCTAAGGAATTTAAACTATTTAATAATAATGAATGAGGTATTGAATAAATGATTTTATTCTCTGCTAAGACTTTTCTGCCTCAGTATTTGTTCCTTACTTTATTCTCAACCTTTTTTGGCTGACAATCTGTACTAAAAAGTATTATTTAATAGAATTATTGGCAACATTCTCCAAGAAATTAGGAGATTCAGAACAACAGAACAAATCAATATGATCATAGTACAATCACCACTCCACTATGTCTTTTAGTGCTACAAAAGCAGCCACTGTTCACTTACCACCTTTCAATGCTATATTGTTTTAGTAAGAACCATCTACTTCCCTGGCTTCAATAAAGCTGTTATTTAAAAGCACATTAGCAGGGGCCGGGGATTTAGCTCAGTGATTCTGGTGCCTGCCTCACAAGCACAAAGTCCCAAGTTCAATCCCCGGTACCAAAAAAAATAAAATAAAAGCACATCAGCATTAGAGAATTATGAGTGATTAGAAAAATAAGCTTTTCAGTATAATAGTAATTATTAAAATTGTACAAATTTTAGAAAATATAAGAATTACAAAATTTTTTAAACAATCCATAATCCTGCCACCTAAGAACAGCACTGTTGATCATGCTTTCCAGTCTTCCACTGCATACCGATTAAGTCAGGGGAACCAGTCCAGCCCAGGTGTAAACAGAGCACTGCCCACATGTGCCTCACTAGTGCACCTGCTCATACAACTGTTTATGACAGGTTTTCATAGACCTAGAATTTAATAAAGTGCAGTGAAGATATACTGTCTTCATAATCAACATCACACATCCACTTAATAGCCACTTAATAGCTTTGATTTTAGATGAGTCATTTAAAGTTTTAGGCCTATTTCTTCTTCCATAAACTGGAAATGATATGAGTACCTTCCTTTTAATATGCTTGTGCAGATAAACATGAGCCACATTAAGTGTTAAAGCTTACTGCCTGTAGGAGATTTGTATTGTTAGACTTCCATATATGTACAGAGATAATGTATTAACAGCATAAAATAAGAGCTATCATTTATTGAACTCTTATAGTCCTAAATGTCTGGTATAGAATGCTTTATGCAATCCTTGCAATAATTCAGTGTGGTGAAACCTCTATTTTACATATGAAAAGGCTGCAAGGTGAAGGGCTAAGTGACTTGCACTAAGGTTACACCAGAAGTAAGGTAGAATCAGGTTTTGAACTCAAGAAGTCTGACTTCTGCTCACTCTTAACTTCTATGAAAACCCTTAGGACATTACACACTTAACATGCTAAATTTTGACATTTAGTACCCCTGAGTGGATATGGTTGATATTTAAAAGCTAGGATGGGGCCTGGGATTTAGTTCAGCAGCGCTGCGCCTGCCTCACAAGCGCAAGGTCTTGAGTTTGTTCCCCGTACTAAAAAAAAAAAAAAAAAAAAGGCTAGGATATCATATACAATCTTCAAAATATAACCAAATATTTGAGACTGTTTTGAATTTTCACAGAATATTAGGATTCTCCAGAACACAATTTGAAAATCCTTGAGGTAGTTCACTGTTGGGAAGTTTTAATTGCTAGAAAGTTCCTTCCCATATCAAAGTCTTTCTTTCCTTTCTTCCTTTTTTTTTTTTTAGGACATTCTAATTCCAACCCTTGGAATCAACTTAGCATAATTCTCATTCCTCTGGTACATTGATGAGTTTCAAAATTCAAATAATAGTCCATAGTCTTTTATGACATTTCCATGTGCATGTGTGTGCACTGGGTCATAACATAAGATGCATTTATTACCATGAACAGTCAAAATGGTTTTGAAAACCACTGTTATATGTGATTGTCCTTCAAGAATTTGAAGGCAGCTGTCATATCTCATCACCCAAAGACTAATCCTCTTCCCCCACATGGGCTCTCAGAGGCATTTTCTTTTTTTTTTTTGGTACTGGGGATCGAACTCAGGTCCTTGCGCTTGTGCAACAGGCAACAAAACCGCTAAGCTAAATCCCCGGCCCCTCAGTGGCATTTTCAATACATCCTCATAGTGTGGGGGTTTCCTTCTCCTCAGTATAAAGAGCAGTGTCCTCTGATCCTATGATCAGATTCATCTAGGTTTCTCCTCAAACCTTAGGAATGACTTCCCCAACCGCTCTCTCTTAAGAAGCACCAGCTGTATTTTGTTGTTTTTGAGACAAGCTCTTGTTATGTAGTTCAGACTGGCCTTGAACTCACTATGTATCCTAGGCCTGGCCTAGAACCCCCTGCCTCAGCCTCTCTAGTCCTGGGATTACAGGTATGCGCCACTATGGCTGTCTTTTCTGATTTTTTGTTTTGTTTTGTTTTTGCTTTACTTTTTAATGCACTTTTCACTATCCAAAGTATTTTGTGTATTTATTACTTTATGATCTTCCCAGAGCTAGATTCTGTAAGTATGTAACTCACAGTTACAACAATAGGTATGCTTTCATTTACCAATTGTTTTTACAAAAAAGTTATGATATATGCTACCGTATTGTTCTATTTATATATTCAAATTATAGTATTATCATATGTTTTATACACCTGTATGTATTATTGTACAGGACATATATTGACATATCCTAAACCAGGTATACGGTTACTTTATGTGAAATGTCAAATTTACATAAGCAGGTTTGACTACAGGTGATTTTTCTCCACTTTATAATGCTATTAAGCATCTTGTGAGTATTTTTACATTTTTCAAAGGGATTCTCAGGTAAATAACTCATTTGATATTTTTCTTAGTCTGAGAAAGTGTGTCAGAGAGCTGAAAGGAATTTAACTGGCCAGTTAGAGATTACTAGATCTCAGTCTCACCCTCTCAATTTACAGATAGGTAAACCGAGGCCCAGAGAAGGGAAAATGTTTGCTGAGGGACACCCCAATTAGCTGGGTGGGTCAGGGATTAGGGTGCACCAGAGCTCGAAAAACGTTTGTGCACTCGCGACGCTGAGGCAGAGGGGTCTGAACCCCAAGTCATTCACAGAGGCGCAAGGGCCCAAGTTCGATCCCCGGTACCAAAAAAAAAGAAGAAGAAGCGAAGGCGCGGCGAGGGAACACTTTTCCGGGGGATTACACTCGGAGGACATGTCCCCAGGAAGGAGCACCTTCCCACTCTTGAGGGACCACCTCATTTGGCGCAGCTACTCTGCACGCACCCAGAGCCCGGAGGTCTCAGTGGGTGCCCCATGACGTGAGCCGTATCCTCCTCCTCATGACTTCAAGGACTGAGTGGTCTCTCAACCGCAACCCTCTCCTACCTTGTCTGTCCTGGGGGTTCAGTACGGCGGGCCCAACCTCCCGGTCACTATGGCAACCACCCGCCTAACCTTTGCCGGCCACCTTCGTTCAGCCAATAGTGTCCTCTGTTTCTTTTGCGTGAAAAGTTGTTGACCAATCATGAGAGCTGTTTCAAAATTCGCAGGGAAGAGGCCAGACTTCTGGGGTTCAGGTTAAATTAGTTATCCCAGGACCTGTGGGAGAAGTAATAGGATTTTTATCAAAACTCTTGTCATAGATCAAAAGGTTTACATTTTTTCCTCACTCAAAAACTACTTCCAGGAATAAACTCGAGAGGATTTACCAGTATCCAATCCCTGTTTATGACAAACAACAGAGATTGGTATGAGCAACTGTGTGATCTTGTTACTTCTCTGCTTAAGCCCTCCAATGGCTCCCTTTGAATTGACGATGAAATCCAAACATAAATTGACCTTGGCACGTTCTTCCCTGGTCGCAGCCTCTGCCACCCACGCCCCAGAAACTTCTCGCAGCAGTGCTGCTGGCCTGAGGGCAGTTGTTGCACTGTTTCAGCTCTTTTCTTTCTTACGTGTGTTCTCTGAGCTCTCCCTGTCCCAGGCTGTGGATCCATAGTGGTCCACTATGGACCAAGAGGTCGCTCCCAAATGTTACTTCTTTGTCGGTGAAACGGGCATGATCCTAATGTATCACTCAAGAGATTGCTGCTAGGATCTAATCAAAAAGCATGCACATGAAAGGAAACGTGTGTGATGAAAAGCTTTTTGTCGTCTGCAGAGCTCCATCCGCATGTTTATGACTGCCGAACCTTAGGGAAACTGTAATCGAGCGCTAGGCAGGTTGTCGCCCTTCAGCATGACTGAACTGGAGCCCACAGGTGGGAGGAAAGAGAGGACAGGACAGGTACTCAGGGCTCCCAGGACCCGCGAGGCCTTTGGAGGAGCTGGGTCTTGACGCTTAGGATTTGAATACCTGGTGGGAACGTGGGGTGCAAAAGAGCAAGGAGCAAAACCCTGGAGGTGGCTGCGAGAATAAGGGAAGATCCCTGGCCAGCTGCTGAAGCCAAGCTCACCTGTTAGGCAGGTGGAGGTGAGCAATCACCTTAGCTCCTCAGGACAGCCAGAGATGGGGGAAAGGAGTTCCACTGTTCTTCCTGTGGCCGCTAGAGGGGACCCCTCCAGGTGAGCGGCAGGCTCCAGCCCAGGTCTCTCCCCTACGCTTCAAGCAAGCTTAGCAGCGCAGCCAATTGCCAGAGGCTGTCCCACCCAACCCCTGCTCACAGCCATTCGCATGCTCGAAACCCCCGCCAGCTTCTGACTGGCAGGCTTCCCGACAAATCAAATCGCGATCTTTGAAAGCAAAACACTGCAGCACTTTGGCATCTCCCAGTGAGGAAGAAATTAAGGAGGCTGTGCCTCCTGGTTGCGCGAAGAGTCCAAACTATTTCTCAGAAACCTCTGATAGGTGGACCTTAGAGGAAACGCCACCGGTGAGTCGTGGTTAAGACTGGGGAGAAAGGGAACCTGAATTCAGCCTTAGTTTTTCAGGAAAGCTATGCATTTATAATCATCCAACAAGCCCTGGTGTAAACACCCTCCTCTCGCCTTGCTGTCGCCAACCTTGTCCGTTTGGATCCTGTTGCCTTGGAAGTTCTTCTATTTTTTTAAATCCATTTTTGCAGCAGAGAGAGGGGACGGGGCACGGGCTTGCCTTAATAAAGATGATGCCAGGCTTTACCAAATCAGGAAGGAAGTGAAATACAGTAACTTTGCCAAAATGATTTCTCTGGATGCCGGCTCGGGCATTCTGGAATAGCAGATGGTGGAGTTGGCAGGTGGGATGAAGGGATGCATTCTTGGTCTACGCTGGCTGCTGGAACAGAGGTCTGCCTTACTGCACCTGCAGTTTCTAGCTCAATGGGAGGGGAGAAACCCTTCCCCAAGAGCCAAAGCCCAAGACAGGGAAAGCTTGGCATGTAACTGACACTCACCAGCCAGAAGCCAAATCGTCAGGTGGTGGGAAAGCACATATTTTATTTATGTTTTCAGTTAGAGTCAAATTCTAATACAGACCCTCCTCTTAGCGGCCACGAGCCAAGGTGACTTCCTCTGTGAAACCTGCTCTGTGAGATTGGTAAAATAATGCATTGCGATAAGGGCTGGGGCATGGGAGTGGAGGCGAGCACCTGATGACTTCTCTTTCTTCTGTGGAGTCAATGACCATGACCTGTGACTGTCATCATGGAGGTGGCTGCTTACCTCTTGAGCATATATGCCAACATCTTAGCCCTGGAACCAGGAAAAGAGAGTCACTAGGCAAAGAACGTGTGCCTTATAAGGAAGTAAAACTTGCAGAGTTCCACCAAGGCTTTCAGTGCAAACTTCCAGCAGCTGAAAGAGAACCTTCTTCTGTCCTTCTAAGAGATGCTGTAGAGGCCCAGGGTTTCCTGGGGGTGGGAGGTGCTGTTTAAAAGCCAATTAAACCACCATAAACAAAAGCAAAACTAGAAAAGCAGCTAAGCTAAAAGGATATTAAGAGGCCTGGATCCCTGCCACCCTCTTAGCAGGTCCCCGAGGCCTGTTTGTTTTCCCTGAAATGCTGTGGGTGGAGTTGGGTATATCTGTTTGTTGTTGCTTCAGAGTTGTGATTGACTGGGCTTGAGTCAGGCATTTTTGACTGTGAAGTGACCATAGCACACCAGGTGCTTAACAGGCCTGCAGTCAGGCTGAGGCGGGGTGTGTGTGTGTGTGTGTGTGTGTGTGTGTGTGTGTGTGTGTGTGTACAAGTCATTTTACCAGGCCCTGGGCTAGATCTCAGGGGATTCAGCAAACACCTTTCTGCAACTTATGCCCAGTCCGCCTTCATCTCCAGGTGGGACACCTCCCAGAACCTCTCAGAGGTAGAAAGAACCCTGAGCTACTCTTTTCTATGACTCTCATTATATTAAAAATGCCAAGACTGGATACAGAAATTTAACACAAGAATGCTTTTCACATGCACATAAAAGTCTAGTGAAGGATAATTATGCTTTCCCCATAATTTTTCAAAAACTTATTCACAGGTTTTTACAGGCCTGGAAGTCTGGTTGTGGGATGTGAGTTAAGAGTTCCCTGATGAGTGTATCTCCTGTATGAATATTACCTCAACTGGAGGCAGAGCAGTAATTTAATTGTGAGGCCCTTTGATAAAGGGGAGGGCCAAATGATCTTGTAGCTGCACCATACTAAGCCTGCATCTTTATCTCCTAGGTACTGGATATAGTGTTTGACCTATGACTTAGGCAGGTGCAATTCACGCCAGGTACCAGAATTCCTGGGCCTAGCGCGTGATGGCAGAAGCTACAGAATAGTCAGCTCTCTGAATCCTGGGGCATGGTAGAAACTGTGTCTATTTAGCACACAGTGAGCCCTCAATAACTCTTCCTTGGGTGGATGCCTGATAGAAAGGAAAGGATAAGCATGAATAAATTAAATGAATAAACTAGTGAGAACAAAATTAATACTAATAACAGCTGACATCGCTTGACCATTTGCTGTGCATGAATTTTGCATGCCTTATTTCATCAAATTTGCACAAATGTCCTGTAGGATAAGAACATTATTACCCATATTTTATAGCTAAGGAAACTGGCTAAACAGTTAAGTAACCTGGCCAAGATAGAACATACAGTACATAGCAGATCAAAAGCAATTTAAAACATGTTTATATTAGAATAAACATAGAATATGCAGTAGAATCCAAATTCGTATGAGTTTTGTTTGGGGCTTTTTGGTTTTGGTGTTCGGGTTGATTTTTTTTTTTTTTTTTTTGGTACGGGGATTGAATTCAGGACCTTGCACTTTTGAGCCAGGCGATGGAACCACTGAGCTAAATCCCTACTCCAGGGTTGATTTTTTTAAATACATGAAACCATTAGCAAGGGTTTGGCCCCAAACACTATGGGTATATTTTCTTTTTTCTCTATTTGATAGAAAAGCTTGAGAGAGTATCAGTCCAATGAAATTAACAGGGATGATCATCCTTGCTGGTTCTGCTTGAGGCCATGTATTACCCCTACTTTACAGATGAGGACGCTGAGTCTCTAAGAGGCAAAGGAACCCGGTCACTCAGGCCTTCCACCTCCCAGTGCAGCACCCCCTCACCTGTGCAGGCAGACCTTGGGTAGCAGGCAGCTCTTCCATCTTCCCTGGAGTTTAGCTTCTCTTCTCATTCTTTGCTTCTTCCTACATTGGAACCCAGATGATGACTCCCTTTTAATGGTCCAGGATTGTTTTTTTTTGTTTTTGAGATGTGGAGTAGTGGACTCGGTAGTGTTCTACTACTTGTCCTTAAGAACTTATAAGGAAAAGAAGAGTTTAAATTATGGGTGGAAAGGAGAGTAGGAGAGGAAAGAGGAGGTATAGAGCTAGAGAGAAAGCTTTTGATGTAGATGTGTGATATCTCCCTTAAAGGGCCGATGGCGTGCCACAATGTCTTCACTGGCCTCACTTCTCATGGCCAGTTAGTTGTGTTTTGTTCTCATAGTTGTCTCAGGGAGCAAAGCTGGGCTCACTGCTTCTCTGAACATCCACTTTTAATGTTCCTCTCCACCACCCTAGAGCACAGCAAGATTCAGAAAATACACCCTTGCCTGCCTGCTCAGGAGACACAGACATTGGCTCTTCTCTTAGAGAACCTGAAGAGAAACCTGTACATCAGCCAAAAGAGCCTCAAGTACTCTTTTGGCGTGAGGAAGAGATGGCTGCTGGAGGGAGGTGAATGCAAGGAGAGATGGCTTCCGGCTGGGGCCAGGCTTAGCATCTGCTCTGGCTCTCAGTCACCTTGGGCAGGATGTGCCACTAGACCACCATGGACACGGCCCCCGGCGCAGGCCTGCAGCTGCAGCAGCTTCTGCCCACTAGCAGCGCCACCTCCGTGAGTGTGAATGAAGTCTCCTTCTCCTATAAGGCAAGTGCTCATTTTTCAATATGGGACTTTTGCATGTTTCTAACAGGAAAGCAACAAATGCAGCGTCAGCTGAGAGATGAGTCCAGGGTGTGCATGCTTGTTGCAGGCAGACACAGGCAGGCTCTCTACATATACAGGGCAGAGCGGACCCAAAAGAAAAGAAATGCCCATTCAAATACATAAAACAGGGAAGTAGAGAAACATGAGGGGAGGCCATAACCACTTAGAACAATCGAGTTTTTTTAAATTACCTACTCTGAGCCACGAATGATAGCACACACCTGTAATTCCAGCTACTTGGGAGGCTGAGGCAGGAGCATCAGGAGTTAAGGTCAGCAAGGGCAACTTAGCAAGACCCTGTCTCCAAAAAAAGAGAAAGAAACCACCTACTTATTACTTGGTGACTATCTCTGTTCATATTTTAGTTTATCTCCTTGTTTTTTCTGGTATTACAGATGTGGGGCCATATTATACGTAGGATTTTTGAACTTGGTTGTTGGATGCAGTCTTGCTTGTGGAATATTTCCCCGTGGCATTATGAGGGATTGAAAGCATGTTTTTGGAATGATTGCCCAGTACTCTTGAGCTGCTGTGTGAAAATGTACACTGCAGGTGCCCTCTTATTGGATATTCAGGTTGTTAATAACCTGCAATGACTATCAACAATGAACAGTGGGCTGAGGATTTAGCTCAGTGGCACCATTCCTCCCTTGCAAGCACAAGGTCCTGAGTTCGATCCCCAGTATAAAAAAAAAGAGCAAGAACAATGAACGTCCCAGAGTGTAAATCTGATTATTTCCTTAGTCAGATAGGTATGATGAATAGGTCAAAGGAAATTACCCTTTTTAAAAATAAGGAAGTTTTTTGTTGTTGTTTTGTTTCGCTTAAATTCTTTTATTGGTAGATTTTAGGTATACAATACGTTTACATTTATCATTGGGTGTTTGTACCTGTACATGATGTATCTTGGTTCTTATTTTTTCCCCATTAAATAAGGGGTTTTTTTATAATGTCAGTTTTGCACATTTCTAAACACCTCTCCATGCAACATTTGAAACATCTAGCAATGCAACATCTGGGTTTATTTTTTTTTAATTATATATATATATATATTTTTTTTTTTTTTTTTTTTTTTTTTCTGGATTAGTGAGAGACTGATAATACCCTAGAGCTAAAGGAGACTTGGAGGTCATCTCATCAAACCTTCTCATACTCTCTTATTTTATAGACTGGGAAAATGAAGCTGAAATTTGAGAAGTGACATACTTAGCAAATTGAAAGACAAAACTAGAACTATTATTAATTCTGGATAATAATTATGTTAATAAGAATAATGACTAATATTTATTGATTTTTTATTCTGTCCCAGACACTGTGCTAAGTTCTACATATGTATTTTCTCAGGTTATCTTTATAACAGCACTAAAAGTAGGCACAGTTTGTCTTTCTGTCGAGATAGCTGCCTCCTAGCAGTTATGAGGAGTAAATGAGTTCAGCTATGAGAAGCACTTGGTATAAGTCACCCACAAATAATGGCCAATTTTATCATCCGCCTTCTATTGCCATTTTCATCCCCATTTTGGAGACAAGAAAACTGAGGCACAGAGAGGTGATTCAGTGGCCTCAGTGGAACAGAATTCAAACCTGGGACAGATCAACAGCAGCACCCATGCTCCTAACCACTGCCTCCCTGGTGTTCTGGCTCCTCAGCCAGAGCTCTCTCTGCCCATCACACTCTGGTGTTCTGGATCACCCCATATGCCAAAGATGGTGTAAGGCAGAGAGAAACAAATGGGGACCCTAGGGATGATAAGAGGGGTCATATCATTTTAATTCAGGCCGACCAGCCAGGCAGAGTGTACATACATGGAAGTTAAGAAAGTTTGCCTGGAATTGGACTCATTTTGGAGTAAGGACTGACTCTGATGCTTACAGCAGACTCTCTTATCAAGGAGGACCTGCTAATTCATGTCCAAGGTCACATGCTTTTCTCAGTTTTGGCATCTTGCTCCTTGATCTTCTTCCCATAAAGCCTGTTCTTTCCCCTCCCTGTGTGGCTACCATATTCTTCTAGGGCCGTGACAGGGAGAGCATCTGCTTGAAAATTGGAGACCTGGGATCTTGCCCCACCTCTGTCATCACTGGCTGGGTGATCTCAGGCAAATCTCCTCTCTTCACCTGTGCCTCAGATTGCATCTCTGTAAAATAAAGGGACAGAGTTCATAGATGATCCCCAGTCTTGGTGGGGAGCTCTTAATGCACAGATTTCTCAGCTTTGGGCTCATCTCTCTCTGCCCTCCTTCAAATTGAGCATATCTAGGCTAGAAATTTTGAATATGCATTTTATAAAACTTCTCCAGGTGAATCAGACAATCAAGTGTGGGAATGTCTAGACCAGATGACCTAGAAAGTCCCCAACTTTATCATCCTGAGAGATCAAGATCTCAGGCCACTGTGTCTTAGTCTTTACTGCTCTGTGTAGTGAGCAAAGCCAACCTTTCTCAAGTGGACAGTGTTTCTGTGATTGGCTTTGTTGCCCATGAGCTTCAAGGTACATTATTCAAAGTAGAGCTCACTGTTCAGTCCAAACTTTTTTTCTGCACTAACCATTTTATTGACATATAATATACACACAGAAAGGATGTAAATCATAAACACTAGATGATAAAGTTTAACTAGGAATGTCCATATATAACTGGCATCCAAATGAAGAAACAGAATATTAGTAGTACCCAAAGTCTCCTCATGTCCTTCCCTCCCTCAGGGATAATCACCCTCCCATGGAGTCAACAAACATATGGACAATGAGACAGTCTTGACATGGAAGGAATTTTTTTTTCTTTTTTTTTTGGTACTGGGGATCAAACTTGGGTCCTTGCGCTTTCGAGGCAGGCAGTGGAACCACTGAGCTAAATCCCCGGCCCTGGAAGGAATTTTAGGAGCCTTGGGCCAGACTGAACGAAGACCACCAAGGCCTTACATCTTGAAGGTGCTGAGTGCTTTCACTGTGAAGCAACGAGAACACCCCGTTCTGCCTCTTGGTATCTAGAAGTTAATACCATTCAGTGTCATGATGGAAGCTGTTCTCTCTGAGTTATGCCTGAGTCTTCATTTCTAAAGGTGGTAGAGTGATGTATGGAGATGCCATTCAATGCCATTGAAAGAAGATTTTTTTTTATTTATAGTTCCCAAGAAAAGGCCACATACAGTACGCTTGAGGTGGTCAGGAGGCAGAGAGAGAAAAGTCTTGATCAGAGCCTTCATTGTGATTTCCAAGGGAAGGACAAGACAGGGCAGGGTAACATCTTGGGACTGGCTAATTTGAATAATTTCAGAGGACTTTGGAACATAGGAACTGTCCTTATTGTCTGGAACCCAGCCCTTGGTTAATGTAGGGTAGGGGAAATATTGATATATGAGAGCTTGATAAAGGAGCTGAGAGAAGTGTGAGCTCTGATTGGTTAATTGGCATAGGGGAGGTGGGCTCCTCTGCTGTCTCCTTTGCCAGCCCTGTGAGGGGCAGTCTTTCCCCAGACAGCAAGGCCAGAAGTGCCAGAGCATCAAGAATTCAGAGAATAAGGAGATGGAGTTAATTCAGCTGGCCCTGTGATGAATGGCTGCCAAAAGGACAGATACAGAGTCCAAGGGAACAGAATACTCTTCTTGATGAGATTTCTAATAAGTTTCCATTTTAATCACAAATTCAGCTCAGTTGCTTATTATGGAATGTCTTCATGCCAGGACAGAAATAAATAAGTCATGGTGACCGCCAAGGAGTGTAAGACTTGAGGTTGGAGACAGGCACGTGGACAGATGGTTATGAGCCCACTGAAGTACCATGTGGGGTCAAGAGAAGAAGACCTGTGTTCCTATCCCTACTCTGCTCCTCCCTAGCTAAGTGACCCTGGACATAGGGCTCCCTGACCCCCAGATTCTGTTAGGGAATCTGTAGAATGTGGTAGCAACACCTTAGGCCAACTGTGTGGACCAGTGAAAAAGTGCCTCACCCAGAGCCTGACCATGTGCTGGGCACACAGCAGATGCTCAACTTAGAAATGCTATGGGACCCTGGGCAGAACAGATGAAGGTGCATGCAGTCCAGGGAAGGTATAGTTAATTCTGCTGGGGATGGAGAGAGGGGTTTGTAAGGGGGAGCTGCCTCCTTCCTCCTGGACTTTATTAAGGCTACTTGATTGCAAGAAATAAGAACCCATTTCAGAGAAGCTGAGACAAAAAGGGAAATTATGAGGTTACAGGGAAGCTCATGACACCAGGAAGGGCAGGGGACCTTGGAAGGTAGGGAACTAAGACATGATTGGCCCAGTGGGGGTCAGGTGTCTGCTCTGGTTCAATCAGTAATAACCAAAAGGGTGGCGCTGGCCAGGAGGTGTGGCCAACCACCAAAAGTGGTTTCTGAGGCTCTAAGACTGTGGGCCACTCCCAGAGGAGAATGGTTGTGCAAGCTGAAGGCCTGCCCCCAAGTCATCTTTTACATTTAGGGCAGGAAAACAACAAGAGGCCCCAAGTCTAGCTTGATCAATGGGATGAAGCCTTACCCTCTGCACTACCCAGCAGGGCATGAATTGTAGTTGGGAGAGTGCTCACAAGGACGACCTGAATTTACAGATGAGGAAGCTTAAGCTATCTGTGCCATTTTGTTTCTGTGTGGGAAATCCTAGCCATCCTTCCAGTTCCAGCATCACCTTTTCCATGACATCTTTGTCTGTCTTGCTATTCTTTATCCATCACCAATTACCATACTATCCTTATAACAATGATAATAGCACCTAGCATTGGTTGAGTGCATGCATGTGTAACAGGGACCATCCTAATCCTCACAAAAGCCCATGAGGTAGATTCTGTCATAACTCCATTTTATTTGTGAGGAAACTGGCACAGAGAGATTAATTAACTTGCTCAAGGCCACACAGTTAATAGGTAGAAAATCTGGGATTTGAATCAAGTTTATGCACTGCCAAGGTTTTTGATTCTGTCTACCA